TATCTACATGCCCGCCAGCGGGAATTGGGCTCATTGGCTCTAACCTGGTTCAAGTTCCTTTATTATGTTTCCCTATGCGACCTGTAGTCATTACTAACAACTCTTGTGTTCCTGATCTAATCATCGCTTTATAATAAATTCTACTTTGTTCATCAACCGTGGATTTATTAGAATGCATGTGGAATCGGACAGTGAGGATATGTGTGTGGAACTGCTTTGCTGGGAGTAGCACTTGCTTACAACTGTGTCTATGCGGGGCCTTCCTCCCATGGGAAGAATGCGTGCTTGACCTTGAGTACTAGACACTGCTAGATAATGTAACCCTATGCTTGCAGGTGCTGGAGGAGGGCTAACGGTCCACAGGAGATTTTGGTGGGCTGGATGTATTGGTGTGATTGGACTGGTCATAAGGGGGGCTGTTTGAATTATGTATAACTAGGGAGCAAAGCCCATTGTGGACGAAGACAATGAGCCCTAGAAAGGTAGGGTGGGTGGGTGGTAGTTAGATAGGTAGATGGATAGATAGAGGGGTTTGGAGAAAGAGGGGAAGGAGGGAGGGAAGGAAGGAGGGAAGGAAGGAAGAAGGGTGAGGGGGAGAGAGACATAGACAGTCAGTAAGCCAGACAGAGGGAGGGAGGGTGGGATAAAGGGGGGGGGGGGAACCCGCCGGGGGCGAAGGGGGGGGGTCGGGCGGCGGCAAGCGGCTTCTCGGCGGCGCTGCTCTTCAAGTGCTCCCTGGTCCCACTCACCCACCAGGTGGTTGTCAGCAGTAGTCTGACGTCTGAGAGGACCGGGTGCAGAGGCAGGGCTACAGCCTTTGTGTTCTGAGGTGGGACTTAGGCGACATGGCTAATGGAAGCTGGGGAACCTTCTGACGGACAGCTCGACCCTCCAAACACTGTTGGTGCGCATTTTCTCTCCACTGCGTGACGCAGCGTTTGTGTTCTGAGGTGGGACTTAGGCGACACGGCCAATGGAAGCTGGGGGGGTGGGAAGCTTCTGACGGACAGTTCAACCCTCCAAACACTGTTGGTGTGCATTTTCTCTCCGGTGCGTCTTACTCAATTATATATAAGGGAGAGATTAGAGAACTGGCGCCAAGGGAGTTAGTTCTGACACAGATCGTCTATGCATGAGACCTCTCTATCTCTCAATAAACAAATCACTGCCAAGAGAGTGTTGTTGGGAGTGAGTTTCTTCAAGACCTGACACAAAGTCTAAGTCCAGTGGCACCTTTAAGATCAGCAAAGTTTCACTCTGGGTATAAGCTTCGGTGTGCACGCATGAATGCTTATACCCAGAATAAAACTTCTTTTGGTCTTAAAGATGCCACTGGACTCAAACTTTGTTATGGAGGAAAGGTGTGTGATTGGACTCCCTGGGGGAGAAAGGATGGGTATAAATACAGTAAAAAAATAAATATTTGGCTCTCTTTGTAAGAGAATGAATAGGATATACCCAGTAGCCTAGTGACCTGCTGGAGGTTTTATACATTTTAGACCCTACCTCAAGTCAAGCAGACGGAGGTGTGTGGCAGAAATTCAGGGGACAGCAAATGTTGCGCATATGCAGGGAGACGACGTAGATGCATTCGACATGCTGGTGAGACAGCTGCCTTTGCGGGACTGAGTTCTCCAGAGAGACCTACTGCCTGAGAGTTTTGGATGCTGATTTTATTTGTGGTGGAGGAGGGCGAGTGAGGAGATGCTACGTACTGTTTTGCTGAGCATGAGCGACCACACCGCGTTAGTACAAGGCACCACAAGAAAGGACCCCAGCACACCAGTCCCATCACCCAGTCTTGCTTTTCAGCCCCTCCCCTCAGTGGTCCCCGTGCTATTCTAGAAGGAAGCAGCAGCCAGTCCCAGGAGCTCTTCTTGTTGACAGCAGATCAGTGGGGCGGGACCAGGCCTTCATGCCCTGCGAAGGGTGAGGGCGACAGAAAGGGGCACCAGGCAGACCGGCAGGGCGGACAAGGCTATGATGGTTCCTGTCGTCAGCTGGTGGTCCGGGGCATCGATGGGCAGCGTGCAGCTGGCAAAGTACTCCGTGTGGATACTGACGAAGAAGGCGTCCAGGGTGGGGCTGGACAGAGGGCAGCCCATGCTTTGGGCCAGCAGCCCGGCACAGATGGCAAGCTCACTGTACATGCTGCAAAGGGAGAAGACAGAGCGGTTGCGAGGAGTGGCGGCGGCAGCCCCATCAAGACCGGTCCCCTGCCAATGTTCCCTCTAAGCTGCAGAGTCTTGTGAGCAGAAATTCTACTTTGTGAGCCATGGGCAATAAAGTTGTGAGTGAGCAATTTGGCCACTCCATAAATTACTTTGCCCTGGAGCCCTCCTTCCTGAGCGAAGACAAAAATCTGTGAGCTGGAGGCTAAAAAACTGTGAGCTGGCTCACTCTAACTCAGCTTAGAGGGAACACTGGACTCCCCTCCTACCCGGCCGCCTCTTCCTCATGCTCAAGGACTTCCTCTGCATTGGCCCATCTGCTGCTCTTGTTTCCTTCTCCTCCAAAGCCTGTCCCAATCCTAAATGATTCATATCTAAAACAGCAAGAGGCGGCGGGGGGGGGGGGGGTTCAAGCCCTCTCAGGCATTTCTAACAGAAGCAAAGCATTAAAATCTACTAAAAGAACAGAACAGGGAAACAGCAGGGGAAGTAGACACGGATATCTGACATTTGCCCAGGCTTTCCTTCGCTACTGATGACCAGGGAGGTTTGATGACCCTCACTGTAAATGTCTTGTATGGCAGAAGCTATGGCATGCTGCTGCCAGCATGTATTTCCTTTTTCTTAGGACATTTTACACTGTGCTTTTACCTGCTGCTTTCTTACTGTTACATGATATCTTTGATTTTATTTGATGAAAGATGCCTCAAACATAATCAATGGAGAAACAACTATGTTAAATAGCCAATATAGCTTCTTAGAGGAATGTGCAGCCTGTATATCACTTTTTCTCCTTTGGATGTGTCCTAGGATGGAGCCCTCAGTCAAATGAGAGTGTCTTTGGATCATCAGGAAGCAGCAGAAATGGCTGCTTCCTGATGATCCAAAGACACTCTCATTTGACTGAGGGCTCCATCCTAGGACAGTCTACCCACCTCATGCTGCTTCTTATTAATTCTAAGCAGATGACTAAAACATAGGAGAAGCTAGACCCCCTTTGAATGTCTGAGAAAATCTGTCACAGATGCATAACATTTTGCAGCTAAAACTGATAAGTCTGCTATTATCTTCTAGTAAAAGAGGTGATGTCTTCATATGATCTATATTTTGGAGCAAAGGAAGAATCAAAAGGTATCTAGGCTCAGAAAAAGCAATAATATTCAGTCACGTGACCTTACCTGCACCAGAGTCGCACACACTGTCAGAGGATGGCCTTTTAAGATACCTCCCTTGCCAAACTCTAGGCAGTGAAGGCATGAAGGCAGGCCAGCCTTAAAGAAGCATTTCTAAATCATTCCCATGGTTTTCTGTCTGGTAACTGAATAGAGGGAATCCAAGGAACTATAGAGGAACTATAGACATTGCTCAACAGGTTTAGGAGCTGCGGTGGCTCAAGTGGTTAAGACGCTGAACTGCAGGCTGTGGAAGGTCGGTAGTTCAGCAGTTCGAGACCCGAGTGTGCCGCATGACGGAGTGAGCTCCCGTCTCTAGTTCCAGCTCCTGCCAACCTAGCAGTTCGAAAGCAAGACATTGCAAGGAGATAAATAGGGACCGCTTCGGTGGGAAGGTAACAGCGTTCCGTGCGCCTCGGTGTTTAGTCATGCCGGCCACATGACCACGGAAACGTCTTCGGACAGCGCTGGCTCTTCGGCTTTGAAACCGAGATGAGCACCGCAATCCTAGAGTCGGATTCGACTGGCTTTCGAGCAAGGGAACCTTTACCTTTACTTTACCAACAGGTTTATCCCAGTGGGAAACATAAGAGTCCTCTCTGACTCAGCCGAGGTGGCCCTCTTGGACGTTGTGTCGCGGTATATAATTGTAACTTTCAGGGGAAAGGACTTCGACCAAGCCTGAGCTTCAAGAGATGGTTGTCCCAATTCAGCTCGGAGGGCTACCCTCACTACACAATTTGGAATTTTGCAGATGGAACGTGGGAATGTAAGAAGAACTGAATCAAAGGACTCCTCTATTTTGTCAATCCAGAGACCAGCCCCATATAAACTTCACGCAGCCACCTTGGCGTTACACTGTTCGATGGCGTCTGGGATATCCTGAGCCCCAGATGAATATGCCGCTACAGCCAGTCTTTTAACATGAGCAGCTTTCACTGACCAAGTCGATCTCTGGTCAATCAAACCCCATAGTATTTAAATTAGGGGACCTCCTCGATAGCATTACCATTAATTTTCTACTTGTGGTGTACATGAGATTTCCCCCAAAAAACAACTGTCTTAGATTTTTGAGAGTTAACTATTGGGCATTCTTCCAGAGAGTGAGAAGTGAAAGCTCCTATCAGAGAGGACAGTCCTGATGTTGTTCTTGATAGGAGGACCGCATCATCAGCAAAAAGTAGGATACACACTTTACTATTAGCAGTGGGTGGAGAATAACAGTCCTGGGCAGAGCACTGCAGAAATCATATCGTTTATATATAAATTAAACAATAAAGGGGCCAGCACACACCCGAAACACTCCCTGTTGTAGGGAACAGAATTTCAATCAAACATAAGAACATAAGAGACGCCAATGTTGAATCAGGCCAAAGGTCCATCCAGTCCAACACTCTGTATCACACAGTGGCCAGAAATACCAGGGGCCATCAGGAGGTCCACCAGTGGGGCCAGGACATTAGAAGCCCTCCCACTGTTGACCCCCCCCAAGCACCAAGAAGACAGAGCATCACTTGCCCCAGAGCCCCTATCTATACCTTGTGGCTAATAGCCACTGATGAACCTCTGCTCCATATGCTTATCTAATTCCCTCTTATAAGAACATAAGAGAAGCCAGTGTTGGATCAGGCCAAAGGCCCATCCAGTCCAACACTCTGTGTCACACAGTGGCCAGAAATACCAGGGGCCCTCAGGAGGTCCACCAGTGGGGCCAGGACATTAGAAGCCCTCCCACTGTAGACCCCCCCCCCAAGCACCAAGAAGACAGAGCATCACTTGCCCCAGAGCCCCTATCTATACCTTGTGGCTAATAGCCACTGATGGACCTCTGCTCCAGATGCTTATCTAATTCCCTTTTGAAGCCGTCCCTGCTTGTAGCCGCCACCACTTCCTGTGGCAGTGAATTCCATGGGTTAATCACTCTTTGGGTGAAGAAGGACTTCTTTTTGTCCGTTCTAACCTTACTGCTCGGCGATTTCATGGAGTGCCCATGAGTTCTTGTATTGTGAGAAAGGGAGAAAAGTACCTCTTTCTCTACCTGTTCTTTCCCATGCATAATCTTATAAACCTCGATCATGTCACCCCTCAGTCGTTTCTCCAAGCTAAAGAGCCCCACGCGCTTCAACCTTTCTTCATAGGGAAAGTGTTCCAACCCTTTTATCATTCGAGTTGCCCTTTTCAAAGCTTGTCAATAGATGCTCAATAGATGTTAGTTTAGCTTGTGCCACAATTGGGCACAGGGTACGGTATCAAAAGCCACCTTCAAATCCATGAAAGCAGCAGCAAGGATCCCCGACTCTTGGTTGTATATTCATTAAAAACTGTAATGTCAGAAGATGATAATCTCATCTGTACCAGCCCCTTGCCTAAAACCGGTCTGTTCCCTTCCCAGGATTTTATCCGTCTCCAGCCAGTCCATGGGTCAGTAATAAAAGGACAGAGGGTAGAGCTTCTCAGCCACTAATAAAAGGCTGATTGGCCTTTAGTTGGATGGGTCCTCTCTGTCTCCCTTCTTATAAACCGGTATTATGATCGCATGTTGTTGGGTATTATAAGTTGAAAACACTCAGTATATCTGGGGTTAAATGTTTGTTTATATTACTCACAGGAAGTCACATGTTTCTCATGTAACCAATGTTCTTTAGATGTAGGAAGCCCGGGGATTTTCTCCCTCATCCAGGAATTTGATTGGGACTAAAGTGTCAAGGTGTATTACCATTTTATGGCTTCTCTTCCAGTCTTTGGTGTTCTGAAGAAGAAGAAGAGTAGCCATAATCCCTCTTCTAGTTTTGTCTTTGTAGAGTAAGGATGTAGCCGATTATGCTCTGTTGTTATTTTCATCCCAGTTACCCTTCCCATGCTAGAATTTAGTAAAAACCTTATATTTTAATCACACATGGACTCTCAGTCTGAATTGTTTTACTCTGGCTCTGCTGGACTATCTCATCTCTGCTAAATACCATTTTCCCAATATCTCACTATCACCCAAAACATTTCTCCAAGCAAGCGGCATACCACCTGTCGCATCTATCTGAGTGAATACAGTTACCAGTGTATCCTTCCGTTATGAAATATTGGCTCTGAAGAGTTCTGGGGGGATTAAACCTGCCCCGGGGTCCTGCCTATTCTTCATCTGAGAAAGGAGAAAGCTAATTTCAGCGGGTCGAACCGGTGGCCACTCCGGTAGTTCAGCTGGGTTCCAGCCGCTCTGATAATCATAGTTACCATCAGGGGTCATTTTGTAGAAAAAGAGGCGCAGGAGCTCATTAGCATAACTCATTAGCATAACTTATTTGCATAGGCCACACCCCCTGACATCACCGGAAGTGTGTCAGAAGGCAACACCCACCACTCAGGCTCCACTGGACTGTTTTGGATTGCTAGCTATTGGGGGAGGGGAACATGCAGATCTGTCCTCGCAGAGGAGGGAGAGCTTGTACCTGAATAAAACTTGGTCTTAAAGGTGCCACTGGACTGTTTTGGGCAGGGGAGCTTGGGGGGGGGGGGCTCTGCAACTTACCTGGCTGCTTCTTGCTCTGACTGAGGGCTGCTGGGAGCAGGGGGTGGGGCTTGTTTCATGTGCCCGCCCCCTGGGCTCTTTACTGCCGGAGCTCCGCTCCTGTGCGCTCCCGCAGGAAATGACCCCTGGTTACCATACCCATCTGAGGTCTGTACCTGCCAATTGTTTCCCAGAGGCAACGGCTATCCTCTGCTGTAGCCGTGATGGTAGCATGGAACTCGGGCCAGCAGAGCAAGGCTATCTGGTCGTAGTAGCCATTCTCGCAATCGTTGGCTCGACTCTCCTCTTCATAAAGCTCTAGGAGGAGAAGGGAAGGTCAGTCTTGGGGAAAACTGCAGTGGCAGATGAATGAAGGTGGGAGGGAACAAGACCCTACATCAGTGCTGTAGTGTCCACCTGACACCTGGCCCTCAGCTGCGGGTGGCCATTCTGCTTCTGGGCCTGGAGGTGCTACTCAGTGGACCGGGCAAAGCCCCACCTGTGGATAAGCCTGTTCTTTCCCATGGATTTGACTAAACCTTTTCTGACGCCGTCTCAGTCACTTGCCAACTTGTAGCAGTGAATCCCATAAATGAACTATGCATTGGGTGTAGAATATTTCTCACCTTCTTCATCTGAATATAAGTAGGAAGCTGGAAGAGAAAAAGAAGAAGTTAGGTGTTAGTCTAGGAAGGGAAGAGGGATGAGAGATAGTGTTAGGGTGGGCCCTTTCCACACCTTCAGTTTCCTGAGGAAAGGTAAGACCGTAAGAAGAGCCCTGCTGGATCAGACCAGTGGTCCATCCAGTGCAGCATCCTGTTTCATGCAACTGTCAACCAGTTGTCCTGGAGGGTCAACAAACATGGCATAGAGTCCAAGGCCCCCCACGGTCCCCGATGTTGCCTCCCAGCAGTGGGTGTCAGAGGTTTACTACCTCTGAATGTGAAGGTTCCCTTTATTCATCATGGTTAAAAGGTAAAGGTTCCCTTGCTCGAAAGCCAGTCGAGTCCGACTCTAGGGTTGCGGTGCTCATCTCCGTTTCCAAGCCGAAGAGCCAGCGCTGTCCGAAGACGTTTCCGTGGTCATGTGGCCGGCATGACTAAACACCAAGGTGCACAGAACGCTGTTCCCTTCCCACCGAAGTGGTACCTACTTATCTACTTGCAATTTCTTGCTTTCGAACTGCTAGGTTGGCAGGAGATTCATCATGGTTAGTAGCCATTAATTATTGGCTTTCATGATGAATGGCCTCCATGAATCTAATTCCCTCTTCAAGCGGTCTATCTCCTCTGGGAGTGAACTCCACAATTTAATTACTCCGCCTAAAGGGAATATAGACTAAGCCAACCCCCTTAAAGTCCTGTTTTTCTTTCTTGTCCAGGCACACAAGCTTTGCCCTTCTGCATCTGGTTCCCTGACTGATATAGGCGGGGAGGGAGGGAGGATTAGCTTGCTCGACTTGCCACCTCTAGGGCAGCCGTCTGACTCCAGCAGTGACCGGCCAGATGCCCCGCAGGAAATTCACAGACATGACACACCCAGCTCTCGTTTAAGCCCCGGTGGGAAACAAAGATTTGCAGCAGGGAGAAATTAGCTAGCCACCACACAGGCTGTGGAAGGTGGGTAGTTCAGCAGTTCGAGACCCAAGTGTGCTGCATGATGGAGTGAGCTCCCGTCTCTAGTTCCAGCTCCTGCCAACCTAACAGTTCAAAAGCAAGAAATTGCAAGTAGATAAAGAGGTACCACTTTGGTGGGAAGGGAACAGCGTTCCGTGTGCCTTGGTGTTTAGTCATGCCGGCCACATGACCACGGAAATGTCTTCGGACAGCGCTGGCTCTTCGGCTTTGAAACAGAGATGAGCACCGCAACCCTAGAGTCGGATTCGACTGGCTTTCGAGCAAGGGAACCTTTACCTTTACCCATTGGGAACTGGGGGAGGAAGAGTTTCCAACAGCAGGCCAGACCTTCCAGAGGGCCTTAAACATCTCTTTCTCCCATACCGAGTCTAATCAGTGGGGGGGGGGGATCCCACCTTTGACAGCAAAATTTCTATTCCTCATTGCCAGAGCCAGCAGTCACCGAGACTTCACCCCAGGAATCTATCAAACCTTTAAAAATATATATCTGCAAGTTCATTATCTATTGCATGACAAGACTATTCAGCCTGAACCGGATACCAGTTGACTTGATCAATCGATTCCCACTTTTAAAGGAGAAAATAACTTCTGCTTTTTCTATTCTTTCCGCATTATTCAGTGTAATGTTATTAAACTCCATTCTGTCCCCTTTTAGGGAGGGAAGGCAGCATGATATAGCCCAATCTTGTCAGCTCTCAGAAGCAAAGCAAAGTCAGTACTTGGAAGGGAGCCCACCAAGGAAGACCCTGCAGAGGCAGGCCATGGCCAACCAGCTCTGCTCCTCCCTTGCCTTGAAAGCTCCTTGCTGGGGTTGCCATCAGTTGGCTATAGAACAACGTTTGAGCCCAGTGGCGCCTTTAAGTCCAACAAAGTTTAATTCTGGGTATAAGCTTTTGTGTATCTGGAAAAGTGTGCGTGCACACAAAACCTTATACCCAGAATTAAACTTGGTTGGTCTTGTAGGACAAGGGACCAGGAGGATGTGATTTCTGGATGTGATTTTTGAAATTTTCTTTGACATATGTATTGACAGTTGTCACTGTGCTTTCATAAGAGTTTAATCATAGCATATTCAGATTTTGGTATCTAGCCCAGATAGAAGAAAGTTATAGTAGAATGTTGTTGTTGTTCAGTCGCGCAGTCAAGTCCGACTCTTTGCGACCCCATGAACCACATCATGGCAGGCCCTCCTGTATTCTGTCGTGGTCCGGAGTTTGTTTAATTTCATGTTCGTTGCTTCGACAACACTGTCTAACCATCTCATCCTTTCCCATCCCCTTCTTTGTCCTTCAGTCTTTCCCAGCATCAGGGTCTTCTCCAGTGAGTGCTCCCTTCTCATTTGGTGGCCAAAGTATTTGAGCTTCAGCTTCACCAGGCCCAGATGGCATACATCCGAGAGTTCTGAAAGAACTCAATTGTGAACTTGTGGATCTCCTGACAAAAATATGTAATCTCTCCTTAAAATCAGCCTCCATTCCTGAGGACTGGAAGGTAGCTAATGTCACTCCCATCTTTAAAAAGGGTTCCAGAGGAGATCCGGGAAATTACAGGCCAGTCAGTCTGACGTCGATACCGGGTAAATTGGTGGAAACCATTATTAAGCAAAGAATTAGTAGGCACATAGATGAACAAAACCTATTGAAGCAGACTCAACATGGGTTCTGTAAGGGAAGATCTTGTCTCACTAACCTGTTAATGTTCTTTGAGGGGGTGAACAAACATGTGGACAAGGGGGATCCAATAGATATTGTTTACCTTGACTTCCAGAAAGCTTTTGATAAAGTTCCTCATCAAAGGCTCCTAAGTAAGCTCAAAAATCATGGGATAAAAGGACAAGTCCTTTTATGGATCAAAAATTGGCTAATTAATAGAAAACAGAGAGTGAGTATAAATGGGCAGTTCTCCCAGTGGAGGGGGGTAAGCAGTGGGGTACCACAGGGATCAGTACTTGGTCCACTGCTTTTTAACTTGTTCATTAATGATTTGGAGTTGGGAGTAAGCAGTGAAGTGGCTAAATTTGCGGATGATACGAAGTTGTTCAGGGTGGTGAAAACCAGTGAGGATTGTGAGGCACTCCAAAGGGATCTGTCAAAGATGGGCGAGTGGGCGTCAACATGGCAAATGGGGTTCAATGTGGCCAAGTGCAA